TAAATATTCAGAAGTAGTTCATCACTCCTTCCTAGTCTTTCTTCATCTGGAACCTGTCCACCATTGGTGACCTCATCTGAAACTTGTCCCCCATGGGTGACCCTGCTGGTATTTAAAATACCCATGGCATATCTTCCAGAATCATAGCAACTCACAAGCCACCACAGTATGACAAACTGACAGTTGAGTGGTAGATTTATGGGGTTGGATAGAATTAAATTTCTGCCTGGGATTCCTAATAACCATCTCTGTATATTTGAACAATTGAAATTGTTTTTGTTTTACTCATCTGAAAACAAAATGTGCTTATCACATTTTAATTGCAAAATCGTTATGAAAATAAATGAGAATATACCCCTTTCAAAATGAAATGCTAGTTCTTATAAATGCCAAAGAGCTACAAAATTGGAAATGATCTTATTAATCATCTAACCCTATTCTTACCAAACCTGAGCCATCATCAAAATTGTCTAGCAGATTTCAAAAATGTAAATGGCTGGTTTTCAGACTTGGAACTTATGATTGAGACTAGTTTAGGGAAATACTGATCTAATCCATCTCCATCAGTTTACTGAAGGCCAGTGAATTAAGTGACTCATCCAATTTAACAGTATAGTGTCAGAAAAGATGCAAAATTCAGTCATGGAAACCCCTAGCTTGATAGTCTTCCAGTGATACCGCTGAGTATTGGAACAGTCACAGAAGAAAGAGCCAGAGATGCTCATGTCTCTTCAAGGACTGGTAAGGTTTCATAAACTTTTGAGGAAATACATTTGTATAATCTCTTGAACACCAAATAAAGTAAACAGAATTATATGCTTATTGGGGACAGGGAATGAAGTAGAGTACCTGAGTTTAAGGCACAGATCTGTTACTAACTTACCTTAGGCAACTTCTTGGAGCTTCAGCTTTGACATTTAAATAATGGTGGTTGCTGACTTAGGGTATTTAAAATTTCGAGAGATAGTATATATGTGAAATGGTAGCCCAACAGCACTTAAAAACAACAACAAACAAAATACTAGAGGAATATGGTAGTTCACAGTTGTTATTTTTTTTCTATCATTCCCTTTAACCCTAGAAGTCGATTGCATGTGATTTACATAATTCATTCGTGGCTGCTGAACTGTTTATGGACTAAATAGAAGTGTGAAAAAAGTCTTTACTAGCTTTGTTGTTTTTGTTATATGTGCCTTGGAGTCGGTTCTGACTCATAGCGACCCTGTACAGGATTTCCGAGGCTGTAAATCTTTACAGGAGCAGAAAGCCTCATCTTTCTCCCATGGAACAGCTGGTAGTTTTGAACTGCTGACCCTGAGGTTAGCAGCCTGATTCGTAAGATGTTGAATAGTAGAGGGATTTGTTGCTGAAAAGAAAGTTGGGAAGTTATCATTAGAAGTTCTCAGAAGTATCATGTCCTTCACAGATTTCTCTTCTCCCTTACTCTTTGCACCTGTTAGTATATGGGTTTATAGAAGAAAAGGGAAGAAACCCAGCTGGTGGAGTGGGAGGAGAAAATCAACCTGTGGTATAAAGTAAAAGAATATACACACACTACATTTAGCTATCACAGAATGGTCACATCATTGATATAAAATAACTGTTTAGTAGCAACCAATGATCTAAACACAGCTGGTTTTCATTCTTGTTAATGATGATTTAAAAAGGATCTATACCAATAGAAAAAACAAGGGCACCATCATAAACAAGACATTGAATGGTATACATCTGAATTTCCAGGCGACCTTTCAGAGTCTTGTAGATCTAGATTTGTCTCCTAACCCCGCTATCCCTTTTCTGTGAGAAGAAAAGCCTCCCAATGGCATTTTTCATGTCCTTGTTTCAGATTGTAGATAAAGGGGTTGAGGAGAGAAGCCAGGATAACAAAAGTGACAGCAATTATTGTGTCCCAGAACACTGAGTAGGTGGCTGAAATCACAAATACATGACAGTCACACTGCAAGAAAAACAACAGGAACACAGCAAGAAGGATGGCAAAGGTAGAAAAAGCCTTGTGACAGCCTTCTGCTGAGGGCATTCCCATAATTACCACAATGATCTGAATGTAAGATAGAGCAATGAAAAGCAAGGAGGCCAGGATCTCCGCTGCGTGAATAGCATCCATAATGACCACAAGCGATGTATCTGTGCAGGCCAACCTTAGCACAGGGGTGAAGTCACAGAAAATCTGCTGGATCTGGTTGGAGCCACAGAAAGGCAAGGTGGTAATCCACACGATCTCAGGGAGCACAATGAAGAAGCCACAGAGGCAGGAGTCAGCCGTAAGCTGAATACACAATTTGGTAGTCATAATGTTCGCCTAACAGAGAAGATTGCAGAAATTAAAGAAATTTTAGAAAATACAGAATATCATTTAATACTGACAGTCCCTGAGGCATGAAAGAGATGTGTTCCTGTGTCTCTCAGAATTTGTTGTAGTTGTTAAGTGCCATCAAATTGATTCCCACTCATAGTGATCCCATATAAGGTTTCTGCAGAGCAGCTGGTGGGCTTGAACCACCAACCTAGTAGTTTAAACTAACCGTGGGGTCCATTACTTACTGAACAGAACCACACCAAAATAGGTGCAAGAGGCTTGGAGCCTTTTCAATGATTTAATATGTAGCAAAAGACGGTGATTTTTATGAAGATTTCTTGTAAGAAGAGGTTGGTTCAATCATTTCAAAGTGAGGCCCAATTTATACAACATGAAAGGCAAGTATGAGTTGTGCTTAAATCACATTTTCATAACTCAAGTAGTGCTTATAATCCATGATCGCGAAGAAAATAATTTCAACGTATTATTTAAAATGTCTAAGACATTTTCATACATGCTCATATCAGTCTATTGACCTATGGATGACTATTTTTAAAATCTATATGCAAATCTTTTTTCTCAAAATTATGTCATAGTTTCATATTATACTTTTTTCCTTTAGTGTCTAATTATTAAGCACTAATAATTTTTCTTTGAAAACATGACTTTCAATAAATAGTAGGATATTTTATTTCATAATTGTATCTACTTTTCTTAAACAATCCCCAAAGTTAGGATATTTGGATTGCTTTTAATATTTTATTTAAAGTCTTGAATTTATTAGTTTCATGAGTGCATCTTCATGAATTATCTCCAGCATGAATAGAAATTGCTAGATTTGAAATGAAAGATCCAAAGAGACTGAATATTTTCAATTATTTTCCAAAACAGTTGAAGTAATTTATATAGCCATAACCAGTATAAGTGGTTTCATGCCTTTACATTCTCATCTACAATGGATAATATCTTACATATAAAAAATTGTCAGTATTGTTTTAATTTTATTTTTATAATATTAAATTTAAATATTGCTGAGGTTTATTGACTACCTATAATTTTTATTATGTTTATATTCTTAATCCATTTTCACATTTAGAGTTTGTTTCTTAAAAGTTTATTTCAATTTTTTTTAAACTTAAGGATATTATATGTTTTTATAAAGATTATATGTTGCTATAAGGAGCTCTGGTAGCATAGTGGTTATGAATTGGGCTGCGAGCCACAAGCAGTTCGAAACTACCAGCTGTTCCTTGGGAGAAAGATGAGGTTTTCTGCTCCCATAAAGATTTACAGCCTCGGAAACCCTGTATAGGGTCCCTATGAATTGGAACCTACTCCATAGCACATAACTACCACCACCATAAAGATTCTAAACACTTTCTTAGCTTATTATAGTCCAGAAAAGAGGAAGTGTCAATTAGCACTTTCACAATCTATGAGATTGTTTTATACTTTAAATTATTTTTCCTATCTGGAATTCATTTTGATAAGTTGTACAAAAAAGGCATGTGTCTTTCTTCCTTACTTCCTTCTTTTCCTTATTTTGAGGTTTGTTTTTTGTTTCTTTTGTTTTTTTGTAAGATGGTTAAAACTTATCTTATGACCTAGCAGCAGTAGAGACTGATTCCTGAGAATATGATGTTCTAAGCTTGTGCATGTATAGGCACACACATCCTAAGGAAAGCAATGTTAAAGAACTCGGGATTTATGAATAACTAAAGATGGGACTGTAGTAGGAAATGTATAGTAGTCATTATCCATGTCAACACTGAAGGGATTCTATTAGTTTGTTAACTACTCAAAGCCATATCATCCCTAGGCCCACTTCCTTTGCAAAGTATGGTCTTTTTGAGAGCTGTCTTTACCTCACGGTTTCTCAAACAGTAGATGACGGGGTTGAGGAGGGGAACAATGACAGTGTAGAGCAGAGATACTACTTTGTTGGAATTGTAGGCATACATGAGCTTGGGGCGGGCATAGGTGAAAAGGGTAGTAGAATAGAAGAGAGTTACAACTGTCAGGTGAGAAGCACAAGTGGAGAATGCCTTTTGGCGGCCCTGAGTAGAAGGGATTCTAAGGATGGTGGTGAGGATGGTGGCATAGGATGCCACTACTACACAGAGGGGAACAGCAATGACCATGAGGGCCAAGAAGAAGTCCACCAACTCAGCCTGTGAAGAGTCTTCACATGAAACATTGAGGAGTGGAGAGATATCACAAAAATAGTGGTTAATATGGGGTGTGCCACAGTAGTTGAGTCGGGCTATGAAAACCATCTTAATCATGGCGGTCATGAGTCCACACAACCAGCATCCTCCAGCTAGTGTACCACAAAGCTGGTTGGTCATGATGACTGGGTATCGTAGAGGATTACAAATGGCCACATAGCGGTCAAAAGCCATGACAGCAAGAAGGATGTACTCAGTGCAGACAAAGGTCACAAAGAAATAAAGCTGAGTCATGCAGCCATTGAAAGAAATGCTCTTGTCATAACTAAGGAAGTCCACCAGCATCTTTGGGCTTATGACTGTGACATACCACATCTCCAGGAAAGAAAGGTGGCTCAGGAAGAAGTACATGGGCTTGTGCAGCTGTCCATCACTGCGGATGGCTAGAATAATGAGGAAGTTCTCTAGCAACGTCAGCAGGTAGGTTGCAAGGAAAACAGAAAAGAGGAGCAGCTGGAAAGCAGGCCGTGTGGGAAATCCCAGAAGAATGAAATGTGTTGTTGCAGTAAGATTATCCACATTCAAAATCTTGGTGATCATGATTGGCTGTGGACACAAAGAAAGTTAATTTCCTTTTATGTTTTAAGGAGCATTTAAAAATTATTGACAATGATGAAGCCCATCACTAGAAACTTATACCAATAAAAACTGTCCTTCCTTTGTATATTTATTTCCTCTTGAAGTATAATCAGAAGCAAAAATGGATCTTAGGTGCTTATATGGTTTATTTTTGAAAATTAGGACAAGAAGGATAAGTTGTCCAACATCATACAGAGGTAAAATTGGATTCTCCTGACTCCAGGTTGTGTACTTTCCCTGTGTATCCTGTTGGATATAGAAAGATGGCCTCAGTATTACTGATTTTCTATGGCCATAACATCCTTATCTAGTGGATATGCAAAGGAGATGGGCTATTTAACTGCTTATTCCTCACATATAATTTATATTATTCTACAGAGAGGATTGCCAGTTGGGCTGCTGACTTCAAGGACAGAAGATTGAATCTATCAGCCACTCCAAGGGAGAAAGATGAAGCTTTCTGCTCCCATAAAGATTTGCAGCCCCAGAAACCCTATACAGTGTTGTTGAGTTGGAACCACTCAGGGCACTTCACTACCACCACCAAAGGAGTTGCAAGACTCTAGTTGTAAAAAGGAAAGAATTCTCCTTCCATTAACCTATCTAAAGAGCACTGGTAGTGCTGTGGGTTAGGCATTGGGCTGATAACTGCAAGGTTTACAGACTTACAAATCTTAGATAGTGTCACCTTATCAGTCAGACTTGACTCATTGGAACTATAGGATAAGTACCCCACTGCAAGGTCAGTTTGAACCTCAAGGCCAGCTGTTCAAACTCGCCAGCTGCTTCTCAGAAACCCTATATGGGGTTGCCGTGTGTTGGAACTGCCTTGTTGGTACTTAAAAACAACAGCATCAAGGTTGGAAAGCTTGAATAAAGTAATAGTTGA